TGTTTAGAAGACATAATTCGTGCCAAAGGTGACCAATTCGAACAAATCTAAACTTATTCTAAAATTTTATGCCATTTCCGATATTTTTGCTTTCATTCAATGAAATTAAAAAAAGTAAAAATTATGGCGTTTGACATTGTTGCACATTTTTTTATCTCACCCTGTATATTTTTATTCGGAATTATTTAGATGGAATATATACCCTGTTTAAAGAAAAACTATCCAAGGTCTTGAATATAACCTTGAATTTCGAAATGTTTTACAATTACAAGTGTTAAGTACCAGTAGAACGAGCATATGCCCATGATGAGAAAATTAACACAAGGTAGTAACATCAAGATTCTGTTATTGAATTTTAATAATTGATACCATTGTATTACCATTTGTTTAAATTCCCAACACAGCCCACGCACACACACGCCAAACAAAAAAAACTAGATTTTTTTGTTTACATCGGTTAAAAATAACACGACACGACCTAATAAACAAATGAAGATGAGAAAAACATAGACTTCAATGGAGACGAAGAAAAAAGGGAGAATGAAAATCTAACACCTAGCGCAGGAGGAAGCCATACGAAAATCATCGTTTAACATAAAACCCAGAGCATAAACGAAGGATGGAAGCACACTACTGTTGTGCAGGGTGAACATTATTTTTGGGGGGTATTATTAGCAGCAAAAAAAAAAAACATTGAAAAACAAACTAAACATCATATTGACTGGGGGACTATAGCAAACGCCCGTCTGCCTGGCTGGGCTTTTTTGCTGGCAGCTTGATTGGTGGCGTTCTTGGTGTACTAGCTACTCCTCTGCTGCTTGCTGACTCATAGTCTGTTTTTAAACAACTTACTAGTCGTGTGTAGCGACCAGTGTGAAACAACCCTAAATTCAAAATACTACGTATACATCCAACGACGAAATAAATTAGAACGCAAAAGAAAAAATATATATGGGATTTTCTTAAATTAAACTATTAAAGCCAAGGCAGGCAGGCAGGCTGACTGACAGGCAGAAAGCATGTACACACGAAACGAGGCATAAATCGCCAGTATTTGACCTCTACAGAAGGAAATGTATGTTGTGCAGTGCTGTCGAAAGCCCAACATATATGTGTGAGGGGCACAGTAAGAAAATCCATTAAAGAAGCAATAAAATTACTTCAGGTGAGCATGCGAATCTATCAAGGATATTTCGTTGTGTGCATCAACAACCAACGAATGTGGCAAATTTCTAATATCATTATACCCTAGAGGAAGGAACCACAAACCTTTCAAATGACAATAGAGATCGAAAAAACTCCCACTTAATATAGAATGCCACTTCGTCTTATATTCGCTATAGATGCCTGTTGGCTGTTTTGAGTCTTCTGCCTGCTACAGGTCTTTAGATTAAGATCAATAACAGGCTATACATCTAAACCCGGTATTGGTTTTTGAAACCATCTCATATTTGATGGTCAGCAGACACCCTGATATCTTCTGAAAAATAAAATATAGTTTATAATAGAAGAGCCTTTTCTTATTTATGGCAAGAGAAACACATTCAAAATGAGATTTTTGAAGTCTAATTATTTTTTCTACTACTTCCAATATGTTACAGAGGTCATTTGGTCTAATCATAAAAAAAACAACTCATGTTAGCATAAAGGCCATAGATCTGTCAAACAGAAACAGTGAACCGAACGGACCGGAAAGCACTACGTTCATGTACGATTAAATCTATGGCAATTTTGGATTGTAGGTTTGGTTTCAGGCAATAAATCAGCAGATGAATTGGCCAGAGGTGGATCCAAGTCAATCGATCTGGAGATCGAGATTTCGGTGAAGCCACCCTTTGTGCCATTTCTTCCGAGCGACACATTAACATTACTCCAGGAGATTTCAACAAAACTGGCTAAATGGAAAAGGATGTAATGTCTCTTAGATGCTCTCTCTCAGAGGTGCTCTCAGCAAAGAGATCAAGGTCGCTCATACCCATGGGGAAACCAGACCTGAAACTCGTAGTGGGATTAATGAAAGGACACTGTAACATAAGAGCCATGAATTCTAAGTGGGGTGACGACGACACCACCAAGAGCACTTACTTTGCCACTATCCAACTCATCTTGTTAGACATAGCCTTTAGGGGATAGCAAATTCTGCACGATTTGTTTTCCGTCTCCGAAACTGAGCCAGCAGTTATTTTTCAGTTAACCAGAAGACTTAAGTGGCTTTGGGATGGTCCAGCTGGTGTACTCCGAATGTTTGTTCTAAGGCAACCGCTCATCCTTTAAACTAACCTAACCTGGGATAAATGTTAAGTTCCTCAGGCTGAACTTCCGGTCGTCGGTAAGTCAGGCCACTTGATGTCACCAGTATATACTTTTACTAATCAGGCTATGCCTCAAATTAAAAACGGTTTATTTAAAATACTAAGACACCGCGTAAAATCCGACAGAACTTTCGCAAATTTCGTCAAGTACGAACAAACAAGAATGCAAAATCCTGAGAGTAACTTGACCTGTGTTTTTCAGCTCCGAGTATAGCATTTATACAACATAGGTTGATGTGCCACATAGGCTTCTCAATTTAGAGCGTATTTGGGCCAGAGCTACCCTGGTCTATTTACGCAGTTGACGTTTTACAACAACAATATTTGCGGCTTAACTCCAAGGATGACATTCCACAGTATTGGTTAATTTTATCCATATTATTTGTTGCAGTTCTCAAGGTCGTATTCTGACGGGTCTGTATCCACTCGTAGCACACGTATTCCTAAACCACACCAAAGACGCAGAGCCTACCATGGACCGAAGCATCGATTTATTAGAGTTCGACAGACGGATGTTGAAGGATCTTATGTGGGCTAAGTATGTAGGAACTCAAGCCAGCTCATGTACAATTCATGGCTGCAGAACTTTTCTCTTTGAGATACGTAGGCCATATAACTTTTACTAGGTTCCTAGTCATAATAGTCAAATGAATTTCCTGATTTTTAAAAATGTTTTCAGAGGGTAAGTTGTAGAAGTTATTCTTTTTTAAATTGCTTCTAGAAGACCTGCCATAAACGTGGAAATATTTACAGAAAATCTAGAAACCCATAATCTGGGCTTTTGAAAACATTTATTAGATATCCATAATCCTGGGCTTTAAAAAATTCATTTTCTAAAGGACTAGGCAAGGCTTAGCCCTGGAATATTAAAAATAAAGGCAACGGTTGGAATATTTTTAATTGTGACCAAAAAATTAGCAGAATCCAGATATATACCAGCAGCGATTCTTTTAATTATTTCACCCGTATAGCCACATCTATACGCTTCTTTGTTCGTCCCGAAATTAAAGTAGAGTCCGGAAGTTATCTTAAATATAATCCCTCCTCCACCACGATATTATTGGAAACGTTAAAATTGACAGGATTCAGAATGTTTTATTAGGAAGAGCCAACAGTCTCTTATTAGGATATGAAAAAAAAAATCAGGATTACCAGCTTTTTTGCTAACAAAGAAAGCATTCCCAAAGAATGCGCAACATTCCTAAATGGACTCCATATAGCCTCCATGTTAAAAAGTTGGTTTTTGCAAGTCAACCTCCTGCAGCAATGTCATTAAAAGGTCCCTCTCGCTTACAAAAATTGCAGTGTCATGCAGAGGAAGGACAAAACGCAAAAAAATGCATCTGTAGAAAGTCTTTGTTTCACAAAGTGTTTCTTCAATGTAACTGGTGTGACGACAAATTTGTTTGTTGGTTGAAAGAAGAGATGAGGACTTTAATTGCAGCGATGATGATGATGAACAGGTTTTGAAAAAAAACGGTCAATGTATATATACACTTTTTCTTAGAATTATTTGCTGGATACAAGAATTTTGTCGTTTTAAACAACAAAAACAACAATTAAGAGCCTGGACGTAACAAAACCGGTCCTCAAGGTACTTTTATTCTGCAAGACACAAATACACTGAAAACCACAACACAGCAAACAACAGACCAATTTGATATTGGAGAAAAAGAAATGCACAAATTTCAGAAGCATCACCAACCAGCAGCAGCATCGTCATCGTTTTTTATGGATGCCATCAGTTAATGAACGGCAAGGATAAATTATCAGAATAGTTTAAGAAGAGGGTATACACACGTCGTCTATGCCCCAAAGTACATTGTGATACTCAGATTCTTGAAATAGTCAATTACAAATCAAGAAAATTGTAATTTAAACTCAAAGCAACAATATCTTGAAAACTATTCCCGACCAAAATCTCTTGCCAGAAACAGGAACATTTTTTTGTTCAGAAAATGGCTACGTTAAGAACATAACCTTAAATTATTTTCCCCTTTAGTTTTCGCAAGTGCAAATATGCCAACATCAATGAGCAATATGTATTCGAGGCTTGAGTCTAGGGGAATATTCTTTTAAAATTAAACAAATTCCTCAACACCGATGCGGCAATACAAATTATATTCCATCATCTTGCATATTTTGGTGATTTTTGTATTAAAATGTGTTTTTTTTTATTTTGTTTTTCCAATTATTATTTTTATTTCTCCTATAGAAATGAACGCATCATATAAAATTAACATACTTTCGTCGAATTCTCTCCGGCTCTCGCCCCTTTATTGGTGTTCTCACAATGAGTATAAACAAAACTCACTCACTCTCTCTCTCACTCTGTTCATTGTAGTATTGTTGTCACTTTTTTGCAAATTCACAAACCAATAGGCAATAGACAATTTAACGAAACATTGAGAATAAGGAAAATGGCCGTTTGTATTTCAAGCAGCAACAAACACACAAACACAATATTTTCACACTAACACACATGCGAGAAAGAGATAACCATACACACAACTTTGAATTTGCAAATTTGACGAAATCTAGATGTCTTTGGATGAGTACTTTTTTCTCCCCATTGCGAACGTTTTTTTTTCTTCAATTTTGCATGTGATGATATTTCTTGTCTTTTACACGGGGAGGTCTGGCCATTTATCATCGAGGCACTCGTTTTCCTTAACCACAATTCCTTACCTTTTCACACAGAGTTCTGACTTGGGCTTCTGTCAATTGATTGCACTCGTTCAACTGTTCAATCCATTGATCCAGATCTTTTGTTGTTGCTTTATCCTCCATTGCAGTTGAAGTAGAGGAAAAAGTCTCGTCAATCTTTGTCGATTCAATTTTGACGGCTTTTATTAACACAGAGGGGAGAAGAAAATTTTATATAATCCAAGATAATGGAATTGGTTAGTTTGTAAAGTTTGTTGTTTTGTTTTTTATTTTTGTTGCGTGTGTTTTATTCTCGTTTGTTGTCTCCTATATTCTATACGTTGGGCGTTGTAAGAAATTTGCACAATTTTCACAAAAAAAGAGAAAAGACCAATGCAAATTTCAGCAACGTCTAATTTTTTCTTATTTGTAGTGGATATAAAAACACGATAAAGTAATCTAAAAACGATACGAACGAGTGAAAAAACGACGAACGACTGACTGTATTTTATGTATTTTTCGTCGAATTTTTCGTTGTGTTTTGAACTTTCTCACGCAATTGTCACCTATTTTCTATGTATTGGAGAGAGATAACTATAGTGACAGGGAGGCGAATACGATATAAAAATAGGGATTCGTAAGTTGACATTTGACTCATCGATGTTTATTAGTAATATGCCTGATAATCGAATTCGACTGACAACTGGAGTTTACACAAGACAAATTTGCATTGTCCAGAACCTGCAAGATCTTACATGTATGCAAAATTTTTATTTATACATTCTTGCAGGTTCTGGAAAATAAAAATGTTCTTAAATTTTGTCTGTTTCTGAACAAATGGAATGTAAGAGTTTACTGCGATAACCAATTTTCAATTTATGATACCGAAAAAAATTTCAGATATATTTGATAATTGTAGGTTCCAAAGAAGATTAATTGTATTTAGTATACACCCTCCAGAATATTTTCGCGATAACATTCGGCATTTATTCTGATGCCACGGACGATTAATACGAGCGGAGAGCGACCATCGGCTGTTGTGGGGGCCCACACCATCACCATGGCCGCCGCTGAATTCTGGTGGCCAACCGAAGGTGCACATTTCAGCTGACCTCTTTTACAAGTAAAGATGATCATTTTGTTTGTTTACAAACTGCTGGACAACAAATGTTTTCTCATCGGAGAAAACCAAATTCGGCAGTTCACCACTTTCGGCCAAGCGAAGCAACTCTTTAGGTCTTTTGAGTCTATTTTCATTCTGTTGCGGTGTAAGTTCTTGCACTTTTTGGAATTTCAATGGCTTTACTCCAAGCTCATTTTTCAATATTTGCCGAATGGAATATTGCGATATGTTCAGCTCATGAGACATTTTTCGGCCACTGCGACGCGGGTTTCGACCAGAACGCTGCCCTGAGAACTGCGACAGGGTGCCTCCTCATGACACCAGTGGACCATCTACATGAGGAGGCGAAAGTCCTTCCCTTACGTCAGCATAATCATATGCTTTCGTTGCAGTACCTGCTTGGGTGTTACCGTGAGAGTCATCCCAACCATCATATGGTGGATAACTCTCCCCCACCCAGGCGTGTCAGGAAGGACATACATGATCTAGAGAGGGAGGTCCAGCGCTACAAGAGAGAGCCTCTAGATCAAGAAGCCTATCAGGCAGGTCTGAGTGGCATTCACACCGATGCAGTCGCGGATGCTATGAGCAGTTATAAAGTGAATGCCGTCCTCGGAGTCCACCCCCCATCCATTGCAGCCGAAGAACGTCAGCTGCCTAGACAAACCAGGGTAGTTTTGGCGCAATTACGTTCAGGATGGTGTAGTCGCCTCAATTCGTATTGGGCACGAATTGATGAAGATGTGCGTGACGCCTGCCCGGCGTGCGATACAGGCCCGCACAATACGCTACACCTTTTTAATTGCTCAGCCAAACCTACCCAACTCACTCCAGAGGATCTCTGGCTACAGCCCGTTAAAGTAGCCGAATTTCTAAACCTGGAGCTGGAACCAGATTAGCAGAACACAAACACATACATGCACTACTGCTACAACAACAACAACAACCAATTCGCTTCTTTATTTTTCGAACCATTTTTGCTGATGTTGCTGTTTTCTTTCCTCCACTTTCTTGACGTCGGGCTACGCTACCAGCATCACGAAACATGTACAGGGTCGTTTTGGCGCAATTTCATTCAGGATGGTGCGGTTGTCTCAATTCGTATTGAGCACGAATTGATGAAGAAGTGCGCGACGCCTGCCTTGCGTGTAATACAGGCCCGCACAATACGCTGTACCTTATTAATTGCACAGCCAAACCTACCCAACACACTCCAGAAGAACTCTGGCTACAGTCCATTAAAGTAGCCGATTATCTAAACCAGCCAAATATAAAGAAATAACTTTTTTTCTGGAAAATTCTCACCAAAATGCTTTTGTACACTTGTAAGCAATACAATGAGCTGTCACTAGAATAAATTTAACAGCTGTCGGACGATTGGCTTAGAAATGACAGCAGACTGAATTCGGTTGCAGTTTTTTTATCTCACCCTGTATAAATTGATTCGCCAAAAATGTGTCGCATAGAAATGATTGTTTCGTCGATATAACTATGTGCTCCATCCGTCGTTCTTATAACCATTAAAGAGAAGATCCGATTTAGTCAAAACTGCACATCCAGCCATTTCCACCAAAAATTACATCGTAGCCACCGAGGGATTGAATTGTGTTTTGAAATTGAGAATTTTTACCGGCCGTCGTCCTTAATTAAAACGACATACATTTTTTTCAGGGGGAACCCCGTACTTCCTCTGACATGGGGTTCCGAAAATACCCAAATTGCACTTTTTTCTTTGTTATTTCTAAACTTTGATTCGCGTAGCCGGTGTTGGACATACCGCAGCAGAAAAAATTTTAATGCACATACCAGATGAGAAGATTTCAAGTCTCATTCGAAAGCCGGCTACCTTAAAGAGTTTGGAATATATAAGAGAAAGGGTCAATTCTCAATAATCCTATCTCGAATGAACTGTGAAATAAAAGCCCAATTGTCTTCGAATTTCTTACATCCCAATATTACTACCAAAAAAGATCTAATTTAAAGAACGGACCACTGCTTCCGGTAACTTCCCCACTAGTCAATTTTTCGAATAACAACGACGCCCCTGAAAAATACATTCTCAAATTTCCGTCAATGCAATATATGATATGGGAAACATTGGTCCACTTCTTTTGGTTCCTCCCCACAAAGGCCCAACATTCTAAATAAATAAAAAATCAAACAACTTGTTGCATTTGTTTTGAATATATAATTGAAAACCGCGATAAGTGAATGAAAGGTCAACACTTCTTTTCAAAATCATGTACTATATATCTCTAAAGGATTATTTCGCTACAAAAACTCTAGATTTTGTCGATACGTTGAAATGAACATTTTGAAAACACCCGATTTTTAATCTTTTCTGAACAATTTTTTTTTGTTACTGAAAAGAAAACACATACATAAACAAATATAGATGACATATTAAGCCAAGAAAATAAAAAAATTGAAATGATATGGTATCATAGCCCTACCTTTATATCATTGTACCATGGATTCTACCATGCATAAAAAGAATAACATTTTTTTTAAAATTTATTTTGGAGAAATTGAATTTAAATGCCCTACTTAAAGCTGCAAAGCTCGTGTCATAGGAAAATGTAAAGTATTGTCAAATAAAACACAACTCACTGGCATTCATGTTGCGCTACACTTGTAGTGATACGCTGAACAATACGCCATGCGCTCTCATTTAAACAGATGTGACAAAAGAAAGTTGTCAATGCTGTTGATTACAACTCTGCGGCTCGACTTCCTTCTTTTTCACGAAACCTTTTACCGAGGTTGGACGTCTGCTTGCGCTCCGCAAACAAATTTTTATAAGGATATGTCTGAGACTTTGCAATTACGCGGTACCCTTTTGGGTCACAATGGCTGGGTAACCCAAATCGCCACCAACCCCAAGGATCCCGATACCATCATCTCGGCTTCTCGTGGTAAGTACGCGACGACCATCATAGCCAAGCCGCAAGAAGTTTGGTTATGTGGTTTTCTTTATCCATAAATATCGTTGGCATCCTGTGACAAAATTCCGTTAAAAGTGTGTATTTTCTATTTTAGACAAGACCTTGATTGTCTGGAAGTTGACCCGTGACGAAGACACCAACTACGGTTTCCCCCAAAAGCGTTTGTATGGTCACTCTCACTTCATCAGTGACGTCGTTTTGTCCTCCGATGGTAACTACGCTTTGTCCGGTTCCTGGGACAAGACCTTGCGCTTGTGGGATTTGGCCGCTGGCAAGACCACTCGCCGTTTCGAAGATCACACTAAGGTGGGGACATTTTGTTTCATATGAAATTGAAGATTTTGAAAAAGGCAGGAAAATAGGGCCTTAGATTGAGTTTTGAATAGTAGCAAAAAAAGGAATTGGTGCCCACGTCAGAGCCTAGATTAGGTTAGATAGCTATCTTTGTTTATTAAAAAAAAAAAAAATAAAGTAATGAATGGCACCATTCCGACAATAAAATGTGTCGCCCATGCGGGGCAGAATTACTGGTTGAGAATGAAAAGAGAAGAATGGTCATCTCTACACATCTCTGCATAAGCATCACTCTCTGTGCTCCTAAACTCATGTATTGAGAGCGATAACTTAACGTAAGTGTTGATACATTAGAACAAAAAAAAAAGTTAAAAAATATGTTTTGGTTTCTTAATATGGAATGGTTTTAGTTTTTATTCCAAATTATTTTTTGTTGTACTTTTTATTATCGATGAGACTAATCGTTTATTTTCCCCAATTTACAGGATGTTTTGTCTGTTGCTTTCTCTGCTGACAATCGTCAAATCGTTTCTGGCTCCCGTGACAAGACCATCAAGTTGTGGAACACCTTGGCCGAATGCAAGTTCACCATCCAAGAAGATGGCCACACCGATTGGGTATCTTGCGTCCGCTTCTCCCCCAACCACTCCAACCCCATCATTGTTTCCTGCGGTTGGGATCGTACCGTCAAGGTCTGGAACTTGGCTAACTGCAAGTTGAAGAACAACCACCACGGTCACAACGGTTACTTGAACACCGTCACCGTTTCTCCTGACGGTTCCCTCTGCACATCTGGTGGCAAGGACTCCAAGGCTCTCTTGTGGGACTTGAATGACGGCAAGAACTTGTACACCTTGGAACACAACGACATCATCAATGCCTTGTGCTTCTCCCCCAACCGCTACTGGTTGTGCGTTGCCTACGGTCCATCCATCAAGATCTGGGATTTGGCCTGCAAGAAGACCGTCGAAGAACTCCGCCCCGATATTGTTTCCAACGGCTCCAAGGCCGACCAACCCCAATGTTTGTCCTTGGCCTGGTCCACCGATGGCCAAACCTTGTTCGCCGGTTACTCCGACAACACCATCCGTGTATGGCAAGTCTCTGTCTCTGCTCACTAAGAAGCTATTTGCAATACATATATGCATATATCTTATACACATTTTTTATATTCTCACAAACAACTGCAACAACAACAAGAAGATAAAGAGCAGCAGCAAAGAAAGGAAGATGGAATTTTACATTAGAAAAAAAGTGTATATTAAGATTTTCTTGAGCGCTGATTTGTTTATTATATAAACAAATAAATAACAAGCAAAAAATGTAAATATCGTTTATTATTTACCTTGTGATGATGCTAGTGAGTTTGTTATTAAATTTCATTATGAAAAACAAACAAGTATTTATTGTAATCTTTTATTTTTTAAGAAACTGAATAAAATAGGTTTATATTTTATAAGGAAATTAATGCGTATGATATTGTGGTGTTGCTCACAATTGAATTATCGAATATGCGGCACGTCTAGAGAGTGTACGTTTCACACAATTCATGGGATGATTAGCTTGGCATTTTTAGAATTCAAGATATGCCTGGAGTATCGTGTCCAGTTATAGAATGCAGAATTTTTGAAGACACATTTAGTTCCACAATCAAGAAAAAGACTACCGCAGCTACAGAAGAAGAAGGGTGCATATCTCTTGGGACGAAATCTGTTTTAGTTCATTTCGAGTTGATCTGGAAGTGTTTGATTCCGTACAAACTTGGTAGTATTATCAAATTTAGAACGAGTTCGGAGATGGAGAATACCGGTCCTTCCATTCACCTTTCACAAAAAATGTCAATTTTACCTCATATAAAGAGAATGAATATTCGAATTTTGTTCCAATTTTGCAAGTCCTAATGTATTTATCAGTGCAATATGGACAATATGTGAGTACTTCTGGTATCACAAAGGGTTAACATTCTGAATAACCAGGCGAAAAAAGTAACCGATTGTCTTCAAATTTCTCGCATTCTAATATTTGTACCAACATTAAGTCTGGTATGAAGATGGAGTAGAACCAATCACTCCTACCTTCTCAAAAAAGGGTCAACATTTTGAAACCCAAAACTCTCAAAATATTCTCTGATTCTCTTCCATTTTTTACATAACCCCATATTTTTACCAACATAATTTTCTTCCACTGTTTATATATATTTTCTTAGGGGACGGACCCGGGAACCCAGATTTTTGACCCGAAAGTCAGGGTTCAAGACCGGGGCTAGATGCGGATCGACTTACCAAATATAGCCGATATATAATTAATTATATAAAATTATATAATTATCGCAACAAGTGCTTACTTGGTGGGGTTTTTTAAAGCGGTTTGGAAGTTATGGTTAAATTATCGATTTTTTTGTATCAACAAAATTAGTGCCCACTTATAGCTGACACTGTAATATACCTTTCTCTTCTCATGTCACTTTAAAACTTTACCCGAAACACGGTGAAATTGACATATGGTAACATATGTTTGAAGAAGAAGACCTTTCTCTTCTGGGTATGTTCAAACGGTGGTCATGTGACCACTTGTTGGATAGGTATTTTCATAAGCTTTCCCGGGTACGTCCCCCAAGAAACAAAAAAAATAGTTTCTCGGAATTAGTGTTGTTTAGGTTTTTAGCGCTAGGATCTTATTATGCCAGTGAGGGAAATGACTTCAAACTGTTTTGCTGTTGTTATTTTCATGGTGAAATGTTAAATACAAAATGGTTAAAATATAAATGTCGACTAAAAAATACAATGTCGTCCCAATTTTTTACGGCTACAAATATTCTCTAAAAACGATCTCAAGTCGACTGTTGCATCGAAAATGATAATAGCAATCATTCATCACTATCAACAAAAAACGACAGCCATAATATCGTTATTGTCGCCTCGACCTTATTTTGCGACGGCGGGGACAACGGTAATAAGGCCGAATATTTGGTGTGGAGATGGCAGATAACTCAAAAAAAAAGCGAATAAACATCTGAATTCTCAAATTACACTATGTCAATATTTTTACCAACACAAGATCTGCTGTAAATATGGGACCTCCCCCACAAAAGGTTAACACTTTGATTTTGTTTGAATTTTTCATATTGATGAAGCGTAAAAATGGACCGAAGTCCATTATCACATATCTTATATAAAGTGAAGAAACTAGTCGATGTAGACCAAATTTGGCTTTGCGATGTTGACCCACACAAATGGAATCGATGAGACTTAAAAAAATTGTTAATAGTCTTCACTAAAAGTTACATTTTTTTTTAAATTCGTCCTATTAAACACTAGTGTTGCTATTTTGACTTTTAGGTTATTAAGCAACATTTAGGTTATCCGAGACTTGATTTTTACCCTCAAACTACCATCACTGACATTGAAATAAAAACAAGACATTAACATTTAATATTATTAATAATAAATAATCAATATTTTTAATAGTATATTTTCGTTTGTTTGTTGTTGTTTGATTTGCATGATTGAGTTCTTTTTGTTTTTGTATTTTCAAATTAAAACAAAAAAAAATATCAAATAAAATTTTCACTTAAAAAAAAAACAAGGAAACATAATTGGACATTTTAATTATAGTTTAATAAATAAACAAACTAAAGTAAACCAAAGTGTATTCTTTAAACTAAAAAAAGAACGAACGTAAAGAAAAGTGCGTATAGGCGCGACTAAAAATAATGAAAAACGAATAAATATAAATAACAGATCAATTACGAATCGCTCTCGCCATCAATCAACGGAAAAACTGAAGAAAGTAATAAATTAAAAAAAAACACTTTAAATGAGAATATTTAATTGAACAACCAATTTAGTGATTATTTCCTGTAATAAGGCGGGCGGGCGGCTCGTGGGAGGTTTTTGTGTGTTTCGAGACGTATACATAAACGATACATAAATAAAGTGGGAGCAGAGCAAGAGAAAAGAGCGGCGGCGGCGGTGGCGGCATGTAGTAATAAAAAAATAAACAATTCATTGATTTTCTTTTTAACCAAAATCGAAATTAAAAGTAAAATGCTCAGCGTTTACAAAACTTATTTGGTTAATTGTTTCTATGTTGTTGTTGTTTTTTGTTCTTTGGGCACTTTATAATCAATCAATTCTTGATTTATTTTGTTTTGTTTTGTTTGTTATTTTTTCTATGTACATAATAAGAAAAAAGAACGTATAATAAAGCTAGCTAGCTGTCTGTCGGTCTGTGACCCTTGTCTCTTGTCTTCTCGAAAGGATGTGTGGGTATCCTTTGGACTATTTCGCACGACCACTATTTGAACGATTTAAATTGGTGTTACCAATAACAGATGCTGCAGACTTTGCCAAGGGTTCATTTAGATGTTTGTTTATTGTTTGGCTTCCTGCTGCTGGCGCTGTTGCTGACGAAGATGCAGCTGCGCTGTTGCTTTGTTGTGTTGCAGACGCCGACGACGACGATGAACCAATGCGATACATGCCATTCTTAAAGATTATCACCAGCACTGTTATGTTGTCAACCGAACCACGATTATACGATTGCAGAGCCAATGATTTTGCGCCGAAATCTGGTTCATGGAGGTGTTCTTTTATGTATGAGCAAGCCTCCTCATTGGTAAATGTGTCCCACAAACCATCCGAGGCCAAAATCAGAAATGTCGGTCTAACGGAAAAAATGGAGATTGATTAGTTAAATATAAATATTTTCGATTACGATTTCAAAGCCCACTTACTTATGATCATTTAAGTCGAAAGTTAAAATATCTGGATTAGCTATGACTAGATTTTTGTCTTTTAATGGATAATCACCCAAGGCCCGCGATGTTGCCAAAATGCCAGCTACACGCCATACACCTCTAAACGCAATAAAACCGCCAGCATCATGAATGCGTTTTCGTTCTCTTACCTGAAGAAAAAAAGAGGACATGAAAAAAATACAATGAGTTGGATTTAATTGCAAGTTGAGTTGCACAAGTAAAGTAGTATCAGTCGGTTTTGCCGACAGATGTATTCCCCGCAACCTTGAGTTATGATTATTCAAACGGTTGACCCTTTATAGGGGAGGTTCCAAAGCAGTTGGTCAATATTGATCAAATCGTATCTGACTTAAGACAGATATAAATATTACAACCTGTCAGATTTGGACTATATCGAATACTTCCTTTACTTTATATGAGATATGGGCAAGTTTTAGGAAAATATGGAAATATGCGTGCGGCACCAGATATAGTCGATCGAAATATTCCATTTTCATACTTCATCTTATATAGATAAAAATATTGGTATGTGCAAAATTTTAAGGATTTCGAACTTTTAAATTCCGATAAATTACATTTTCATATCAGATTTTTGGTTAAAAGAAATATTTAGATATTGCAAGTTGTAAAGAATCGCCGATTTGTTTCGCAAGTTATGACAGAAATTGGAAATGGTGTCCCTTAGCGTCTGAGGTACCAGAGGGGGTTGGCAGATATATATCATCTTCAGAAAAGATCTTGCATTAGCAAATATATTTGGATGTGTGAAATTTCAAGATAGTTGGATGCTTACTTCGCTTTCTTTAAGCGTTTTGTTTTTCAAAGTATTGAACCCTATGTATGGGTGGTGTCAGAAGAAATAGTTCGATCTCTACCATTTTTATAACAGATCTTTTGTTGACGGAAATATAGAGATGTACCAAGTCTAAATGAAATCGGGGATTAATTTCGTGTTTTATGAGCTTCATGAATATTCAAAATTTTGACCCTTTGTGGGGGAGGTACCAGAAGAATTGGACCGATATATCCCATCTTCACAGCAGATCTTGTGTTAGTAAAAATAATGAGATGTGTAAAATATGAAGACAAACGGATGCTTATTTCAGATTTTATGATCGTTTTGGTTATTCAAAACTTTGACCCTTTGTGGGGGAGGTATCAGAAAGAATGGTCCGATCTCTACCATCCTTATAACAGATCTAGTGTTGATAAAAATATTGAAATGCGCCAAAACTTAATGGTATCGGATGTTAATTTCTCGTTTTATGAGCTTCATTGATATTCAAAATGTTGACCCTTTGTGGGGGTGGTACCAGAAGGAGTGGACCGATATATCCCATTTTCACACCTTGATTTAATAAAAATATTGTGATGTGTACACTCGCTTTAAACGAAGGAAGAATGTAACGGCGTACGTAGAAACCTAACAAACGGATTTAATCGACTACATTGTAATGAAAAGGAATTCGACAATCTGCAGATTCCTTACTTTCACAGGTAATGACCATGGCTCCTTTACAGACTGCAGCTCGGCTAAGCCGTACATTTATCTGTTCGACATCATCTAGTTATATGTACCGGATTTCCCCATCGATGATAATCGCTGATGTACCCTGATCTATTACCGCTACTCTAACTACGTCTTTCGCCTTCTTTACCGAGACCGAAACATACGAAACGGACTGTTGTACCGTATGTGTCGTCACTTTATCTTCTCTTGGGTTGCTGCTTCTCAGTAGACCGCATCCTCTCCATAGCCACTGGCTGAGAGGAGGATTTGTTGTAGACTTCGTTGTAGTTGACTCTGCCCAGTCCAACTGATGTTTCACCACCTTCCCCGTTATAACGGGTTGCGCTGATGAAACAGTTAATGGGCGAGCATTTTAGTGGTCTTCCTCGACGCTTTTTTAGTGGTCTGTGGTCCCGTATTCAACCTCGGTTCTGGCACATAAGAGGCCTTTTTAGATGAGCAGATGTTTCCCGCAGTCGTAGCATTGACTGGTTTCATCGCCGTTCTGTATGTGTATGTTGCGTTAGGATACGTCCTTTCGAACTTCCTAACAAACTTCTTATATATATATCAGGTCTAATTACTTTATATTATTTGGCTAATGATCATTGGCACACAAGTATTTAAGCCGAGACTCTCCCTCACACACCTTATATCCTTATCTATACTGAATACCTTGAGAGGAGTCGATCCATCAAAAAAGAACTCAAAATAGTCAAAGCCTTCAAAATGTGGAAAATCAGGAGGTGCCCTTATATGGTGACTTTATCAAAAATGGACCTATATTGAATATTTTTCCGAAGAGTTTAACTGCCCAAAAAGATCCTGAAATATTAAATTGAATCAGTTTTAGTTGAAAATTCCGACCAAACTATACAAATACCAAAAATAAGGAGGTCAGGTCACGCATTTATGTGAGTGCTAACCCATTAGATGTTTAGGTTGCATGATTCATGGCTTTGGCAGATAGGTGCTTTTCAATTCTTTACCACCACGACACAAATTTAGAGGCTTAATGTTTTTTTATGCGTATCGTATATGCAGTGAATTATTTAGGGTAGACGTGATCTATGATGTTATAGTCGCCAAAATATTTATACAACTTGGCCCATAAATGTATATACGTATGGAAATCCACGAGCCACCGTTGGAAACCTGATAACGGTTCAATAAATTAGGTTTATCATTGTGAGATTAAACTTCCTATTGTTATCAACGGATTTGATGGAAATAAAATTCACAATGGGCACTAAATCATTTAAAAAAAAACTCACAACCTTTAAACAATTCCGAAAACCTAATAAAACTGAGACCGAGGCCGATTTCTGTATGACGATACGAAAATGAATTGGAAAGAAAAATTACATTATAAATGGGTTTTTCTAGTTAATGATTTAATTTGAAATCACATTTGGAATTGTATTTTCTCCACGCAATCACTTTCGTATCGTCATAGAGAAATAGACCAAGGTACATGGAAATAGTCTCAAATAATTGCGGATGAAACTTACCTGCTGGGGTTTGTGATCAAATGACAATGGTATGGCTACACCTCTGGCATTACACATGACACCGCGGGAATCGCCAACATTGGCCACTATTAAACGACTGCCATGAATGATGGCTATTAAAGCTGTGGTACCGGCAATATTTGTCTGAAATGTAATCAAAAGAAAACTTCAGTATATTACTCGAAATTTTAAAAAGGATTTTCAAATTACCGTCTTCTTTGCAGCTTCCACCAGTTTGTGATCGGCTGCCAAAACTTCGTCTGTTATTAATTTACCAAAATTGATTTTGCCATTCTCCACATAACAACTGGCATCAAACTGTTGTGGGGGCATACCATCTTCGCCGCCTAAATTCGAGTCTTTGTTATTGTTGTTGTTGAAAAAGCTATTCTTGGAGTTGCCAACACCGCGCAACAGCGAATTCAATTGCATTGTAAAAACATCTGAGGAGTCTTTTTTATCGCCAGTCGTTTTGCGGGCGGTGCAGTCATCATTTACACTGTAAAGGAGAGGGGAGGAGGAGGGTTAACAATCCGTTCTAGGTGTTTTCATTTAGATTGTTTGTTTTTTTTTTTCAAATAGTTTTCATGTAAATCACTATTTAATGGTTGTAGTAAATGAGCTATGAAAATGAAACAAGATGTTATCTCACAATATTTGAAAAAGTGTCACCACCCATCACAATCCCGACGATTGAACACAATTTGACTTGAAATTAATTCCCAGCATTTCTTTATGATATGAGTATTAACTCAGTATTACAGATAACAACAGTAGCGCATTAAGTTATGGGATATTGTTTGATTTTTAATTGCTAATGGAAATATTTGCTTGTTGGGAATTTGAATTTTTTCACCATAGATTTTTAAACTTAAAGTCAGTAGTAAAACATCCACTCGCCAACAAAAATTCCCTTTTCCATATGAATTATAGAAAAAATTACAGTGCATATCGGCCCACTCACTCTGGTATTACCTTCCCTACAAAGAAATTATCAATATTCAAAAAATTGATATGTTTCGAATTTTTGGCCATTTGTGGGGCAGGAAAAAATTGAAAATATCGTCCTAACTCCTTCAGATTTCTCTGCACTAGATAATGAGTGAAGATAGGATATACTTGTCAACTTATTTTTTAACCCGCATCATAAGGTTAAAAGCCCTGAAAAATTAATCTATCGGAATTTAATATTCGAGTAAATTCCATTTTTGCCATTGAAATCGGTTGAATAATGCAGTTAGTATTCACAATACCATAACGTAGGCGGTGTCGTTATACTGTGGCTATATCAAAACTGCAACCTACACTTCCTGTCTGAGTGTTTGTTATCTGATGCAAGTTTCTGTGTAAAAACTTGGTTGGGTGCTACACCTATAAAGCTAATGCTATAATGCCACTTTTACACTAGAAATATTAATGTTTAAACAAAGTGTAAAAATCGCACAGAATTCATAAAAAATCCAGAAATCTTTATTTGAATTGATAGTACGGTTCATACACTAAAGTATGTTTGAAGATTATTTAGTGCACGACTGCGACTGAGCTTCAAATAGTACATCCGCTTGGTTCACTTTTGACATACTCTTTCAAACATTTCGGCCGTTATCTCACAAATAAATGCTTCGATGTTGTCTTCCAATTCAATTGAAGCGGGACCGTCAGTGTGCTTTAACTTAGCCTCACAAAAAATAGTCGTTAAGTCACACGGTCTAGGCTACCAATTGACCAGTCTTGAATATGAAATAACAAGTAAAATAGTATCAGTCGGTTTTGCTGACAGATCTATACCCCCGTCCTTGAGTTATGATTATTCAAACTGTTGATTCTTTATGGGGGAGGTTTCGAAACAGTTGGCCAATATTGACCAATTCGTATCTGACCTAAATCTGATATAAATATTACAACGTGACAGATTTGGAATTTGGAAATTTTGGGATATGTGGAAATATGCGTAAGGTAACAGATATAGCGGACCGAAGTATTCCATTTTCATACCTCATTTAATACAGATTCATATCCAATTTATGCAAAATCATAAAATTTCAGATTTTAGGTCAAGAGAAATATTTAGATATAGCAAGTTGTAAAGAACCGCCGACTTGTTTCGCAAGTTATGACAGACATAAGTATTGGACACGTGACCCTTTGTGGGTACCACAAGGGGTTGGCAGATGTATATAATCTCCACATCAGATCTTGTGTTAACAAAAATGTTTACATGGAAAAATTGAGTAGATGAATGGATGGATTTGGTTGCTTATTTCGCTTCCTTTGAGCGTTTTGTTTTTTTAAATCTTGATCCATATGTGGAGCAGGTACCAGAACAGACAGATCTTGAGTTGATGGAAATATTGAGATGTACCAAGTCTGAATAGAATCTGATGTTAATTTCCCGTTTTATGAGCTCCATAGATACTCAAAAGTTGACCCTTTGAGGGGGTGGTGCCAGAAGAAGTGGACTGATATCTCCCATCTTCACACCAGACCTTGGGCTATTTGATATTGTGATGTTTGTGATTTTAAGAAACCCAGATGCTTATATTGCATTTAATGATCGTTGTGGTTATTCAAGATTTTAATCCTTTGTGGGGGAGGTATCAGAAGGAATGGTCCGATCCCCACCATCTTTATAACACATCTTGTGTTGATGGAAATATTGAGATGTGCCAATTCTAAATAGAATTTGATGTTAAATTCGTGTTTTATGAGCTTCATGAATATTCAAAATTTTGACCCTTTGTAAGGGAGGTATCCGAAGGAGTGGACCGATATTGCCCATCTCCGAACTCGATCAAAGTCTGACAATGATATTATGATGTACCAAGTTTGGATCAAATCGGATACTCCCTTCGAGAGTTATCGTGCGCACCAGCAAGATAGACGACGGATGGACGGACATTGCTAGATCGACTCCAAATGTTCTGAAACGGATTTGGTCCATAGAAATCTGGGGTCTAAAACCGCTATATACCCTCTCTAGCCATATGGCTGAGGCTATAAAAATTTCACCGAATTTGCCTCTCAATACGTTCATTGTACGCGTGCTCTGTGGCAACGTCTTGTTGAAACCACATGTCATGCAAGTCAAGCACTTGCATTCTGGGCAAAAAAGGCAAAAGGAATTTTGGCTGATCTTCACGCTAAAACCTCAAACTCTCCTAATTAACGTACCCATTGAGACAACAATGAGCTTCGTCGGAATTGGATCTTCGGCCGACTTTCTAATAGCCCATTCACCAGAAATTCTGCGTTGCGGTAGGCCGATCGACTTAACTCGTTGCACCAGCTGTACTTCCACATTGTTGAGTAACAGAAGTCAAATTGCTGCGAACGGCAACGAAATAACAATTTAAGCGAATTGGAGCGCAAACTGTGTACATCGCCACTACTAAGTCACTTGGGAAAATTAACAACAATCGGGGGGCCACTTCTAGAACATACACCAAAAAAAATAAAAAAATAAAAATAAAAATATTGCCTGATTTTCTTTTCGCTTATATTATAAATAACTCCTTGCAAGGATTTGGAGGCATGATATTCCCTGCCTTAACCTATAGTAAAGATTTCTACTTTCCTCCGCTAATGCAGACACCTTGTTTACTTCAATGGGATTAAGTCTGATAATTATAAATACAATTTATTTCGTATTTTCACATCATTCCACTTACCTCGTTGTTTTTCGTAAACTATCACGACGTCTAACCAAAGGTTCATTCTCTTTATTGTCACCATCGTTGCGGCTGGCCTTACGCTTCAGATACGGGCTAGCATCGTATTCCACATAGTCCTTGTCCACATCGGCGGCATTGGCGGCTGACAGGTGTTTCTGTTCCAATTTTTGGGCATTTAACAACTTTGTTGTTTCTATAACTTTATTGTAGATATTCTTGACCAAAATATCTTTGGCAAAATCGGCGGCAAATTCACCGCCATGTCCATCGAATACGGCAAAAAATGAAATGCCAGTATTGTTGTTAATGTTCTCTTCCAGAATAAAGCTGTAAGTAGTCGAAAAAAAAAAACAGAAAAAAATGAAAACAAAATTATTAATAAATTAATGTAGATAAAATTGTATTAAAGCAAGCAAATAAATTTTCTTGGCTATGGTCTTGTTTGTTTTGGAGGGCGATTATTATTCATATGTTTTTTTTTCAAAAAAATTTATTTTTAAGATTCGTCTATATATATGTGTGTGTGCGCGCATTGGCGCTTATTTAACCCCCACAAAGCATTTGGGGATTGGGTTGAAAATTTTCATTCACCAGATAGAATATGAAAAAAGAAATGTGTCAAAATGTTTTTTTCTCCTACAAATAGAAATTAATTTAATTTTTGGGAAAAGGCGCATTAAAATTTCTGCTCTTTTCTTTTTTTGAAATTGCAACAAAATATGGCAAAAATACACACACCAACCACAACAAACCGCAGTAATAATAATCATCACCAATTGCCATAGAACTCGGCCATAAATCACAGCTACGTTTTAATCAACCACAAGAATAACGCAAAACACAATGACGACAGATGAAAATTCAGCCCAGTCGTCCATTTAGAATCTGCACCATACGGATAGAAAAAAAAGAGAAAAACAGAAATGGAAACATTAAAGCGCAGCATTTTGTGGTGATGGCTGGCTGGGGCTGCCTCACTAATAATAATAAACAAAACAGAATCGATTCAAATATCTATCAATTTCTAGTCAAATTGATAACAAAGTATACTGGATGGCTGGACAGGCGACTCTTTGAAATGGCAATCAATTATTTATGATCGTGGTACTGGGTGCTGACCTCTGTAAATAGCAAGACAATCTTTTTTACGTTTCAAACAATGCAATTGTTTTTTTTTTTTGGGAAATTGTGAACTGCGTCTGTTTTATTTCAGTCATGGTAGAAATATGTTTTGTGAAATTATGGGAGGTTCTGTAGGCAATTCAAATTAAAAAAGTGCGGAAAACTTTTTGAATTCATTGAGAATGTTTATTATTGATCGATCAATTGAAATCGGAATTTTGTGTTCGTTCCTTCAATTGTCACTTGTCGTCGAGAATCGTCAAAACAATGCTGTTGTAATCACTTTGGCATCCAATCGAATTGAGGTAGGTTATTAAAATAGTGCCCATGTGTGTCTTATTGGGAGGCAGGTGGTGTAGGTTGAGTATGGACTATTATCGGTCAATGCCTTGGTCAGTGGGAGCTTTGCAGTTATCGTTTTTAAAAGATTGATTTTGAAAAAAAAAAAAAAAAAACAAGTAAAAAGGATGGAAGTGCGGCCGGGCGCAACTTTGAATACCCTTACCATTTAAAACGAATTTGGCAGTTTTCAAAAAAAAAAAGAAAAAAAAATCTGTTAATAATTCTGTTAAAATCTTAAAAATACCAAATGTTGCCGTTATTAGGGTCTATAAGACGACGTGGACCTGCACAGACAATTTTCTGTCGTAGTCTGTAATACCCATAACGAACTTCATATACCAAATTTAAAACAATTCCGGTGAACAATGTCTCCAAAAAATCATCAATACCGAATATCGGGAGGTGCCGTTATATGGGGGCTATACGAAGGCGTGGACCTGCACGGACAATTTTCTGTCATATGCTGCAGCATCTATTACGAACTTCAAACACAAAACTTGAAACATTACCGGTGAATAATATCGCTTAAATCACCAAAATAGGAAACTAAGGAGGTACGTGCACCTACATGGCCCATTTCCAATACCAAAAGTCCTGCAGACATAACATACATTTTAGTAAAATTTTATCAACCTTCTTCACTTCGTTCGGAAGCTGGAGTAATTCGACATAGAATTTTATGCTGATTAAGAATACAGGGTAAGATGAAAAAACTGCAACCAACTTCAGACTGCTGTCATTTCTAAGCCATTCGTCCGACAGCTGTTAAAATTATTCCAGTGACAGCTCATTATATTGTTTACAAGGGTACAAAAGCATTATGATGAGATTTTTCCAGAAAAAATAGTTATTCGTGATGGAATTCAAGCGTGATTTCTTTATATTTGGCTAGAAAACCACAAGTGGCTATCGTTAGAGCACTCCAGCATTTAAATGTGAATAATTATTTTGTGTCTCTTGCCATCGCTCGCTACCGTGATACTGGTAGCATAGCCCGACTTCAAGGAAGTGGACCGAAGAAAACAGCAACATCAGCAGAAATTGGCTTCGAAAACTAAAGAAGCGACTTGATCGATACACGCATCGCAGTGGCTGAAAAATGGCTCGTGAGCTCAACATATTGCAATATTCCATTCGGCAAATATTGAAAAATGAGCTCGGGGCAAAGCCATTGAAATTCCAAAAAGTGCAAGAACTTACACCACAACGGAGAGAAAATAGACTCAAAAGAGCTAAAGAGTTGCTTCGCTTGGCCGAAAGCGGTGAACTGTCGAATTTGGTTTACTCCAATGAGAAAACATTCGTTTTCCAGCAGTTTGTAAACAAGCCAAATGCTCGTGTTTACTTGCCAAAGAGGTCAGCTGAAAATGTGCACCTTCGGTTGGCCACCAGAACTCAAGGGCCGGCCATGGTGATGATGTGGGCCGCCATAACAGCCGATGGTCGCTCTCTGCTCGTATTAATCGACTGTGACATCAGAATAAAATCCGAATATTATCGCGAAAATATTCTGGAGGGTATATTAATGCCTTGAGCACGCAAACATTTTGGCCGCAGACCTTGGACATTCCAACAGGACTCAGCACACGCCCCAATAATGATTACAAAATGATGTTCCTCGCTTCATTTCCAGGGCACAATGGCCACCAAAATCTTCGTATACCAATCCGTGGACGATTGTGTCTGGAGTATTTTGGAAAGCATGGTTGGCTCTAAAAAATACCAAAGTTGTGATCACCTCAAGCAAGCGCTTCGCCAGGAATGGGCCAAAATACCGCAGAGCAACATTCGGACAGTGTGTGACGGTTTCATGGGCATTTTAAAGGCCATAATTCGTGCCAAGGGTGGCCAATTCGAACAAATCTCAACTTAATCTAAATGTTGATGCTATTTCCGATATTTTTTGCTTTCATTTAATAAAATTAAAAAATGAATGTAAAAATTACGGCGTTTGACTTTGTTGCAGTTTTTTTATATCACCCTATCATTTCAAATAAAGAATTCATGAATTTAATAATAATATATTCGATAAAGTCATAACAACCTCCATCACTATGAGGTGTGGTGTGGCACAAGGCTATAAAAAAACGGATTTCTAATGGAAACTAGAGCAATTAATAATTATACGATTCGAGTTAATGGCTTTGGAAATCCAACCAAATTACCAGTTAGTCATTTGCATTTGTATGCTCTTACCCGCACCATTTATCATGGAAATGTTTACAAGTATTGTATTTTTGGATTATAGCAAATGTTGTTATATTTTTTCATTATCAATTAATGTCATCAAATTTTTTTGGTTTTAATAGTTTTATTTTGGAATGGGGTGCTTTTTTTTCTTGGAAACGCATTAAATAATTTGTTTTGGTTTTGGTTTGTTATGAGAGGAATTATAGCAGAAATTTGGGGTAATTTTAGATTTGGAACTTCTGGCCAATAGGTGATAGGAGTAGGTGATTTCATGTATTCTGAAGGCTATTTATGTGCTACATGATTCCACACCGATATAGTCTGGGGAAATATTGTAAATTTGATTTTTTTATATTTTTAAGACATTTTGCCCTAAAATATTAATTTTAATCCGGAGGGCATTTCTGGATACTTCGGTGATTCCGCCGATAGCATGTTTGGGAAAAGTCACACTAGAATTGCACACGATTTTAATAAAATTTCAAATTACACTACACACGAAAAGTCCCATTTACAATTCCATAAAAATCATCGGGAATCTAATCCTTATTATCTCTCAGAATCAAATGGCCATACATTATTTACGGTTTTTTGTATTTTTTATTGTCTTTAATCTATTGCCCAGTGTCTCGACAATAGCAACAAATTATTTTATTAAGAGGAAATGACTTTCAATGTTAATCAAATATTTGATAATAGCAGAAATTCCATTAAAGTTCAACATTTCTTCTTATCAGCTGACATGAAAGAGAGAATAGACACAAAACCTTTATTTGAATATAAAGATTGTTGAATTACCGAATTTTTCGAAAAAGAATCTTTAAAATATTATATCAACTATTAATTTGCCAATATGGACTATGCACCGTATGATATGCTAAATTTTAAAGAATGCCATTGTTATGGTAACAAAATCAATAAATTAGTCAGAATTAAATAATACCAATATCATGAATTTAAAAAAGAAAATAATGAATTGTGTTGATATGAATGACTAAGAACTGTGTCAAATTGGTATGGATTGGAAAGCTATCTTTACAATAATCTTTTTAGTAAAAGCTTGACGATAACAAGAAATCAGAAATATATATTTTGAGACTTTGACCACTTAACAACACCCAAATGCCATGCAGGTGTACAACATTTTACTAGTCCGCCGTATAATAAATTTTTTTATACCCTCAGCCATATGGCTTTAGAGGGTGTATATCATTTTGATACGGCCAAAACGTGCCCCATCGAAATTACGAGTTTAGAGCCTAGGTCTCTTTGGACCAAATCCGTTTCAGGACATTTGGAGTCGATCTAGCGATGTCCGCCCGCCGTCTGGCTGGCTGGCGCGCACTATAACTCTCGGAGGGAGTATCCGATTTGGCCCAAACTTGATACATCGTAATTTTATTACCAAACTTAGATCGATTTCGAAGATGGGCAATATCGGTCCTCACCTTCTGGTATCTCTCACACAAAAAATAAAAATCAAAAAATATATTTTCTGCATAATAAAATCCGATTTTGCTCCAACTTTCCAAATCCTAATATTTGCGCCAGTGCTAGGCTAGGTGCGAAAATGGAGAATATCAGTCCACTCCATCAAGTGCCTCCCCCACAAACTGTCGAAATATTGAAAATCCATCAATCTCATAAAACATGAAATTACCATCCGATTCCAT